GATACCATGTCTAGGAAACTTTGTCTTTTTCTTCCTGTTAACTTTATGTTCTAGTCTAGGGATCATCAGAAGCCATTACAAATATCATTCTATGGACAGCTCTAGGCAGCTTGTGAATTTTCTTGAGGATAGAGGCAAGCACTTCACCATCTCTGAATCCTAGGACTTAGAAGACTTTCTGCTGCACAGAAATAACTCCATAAATGTTTGAATGAATGAATTACATGGAGGCAGATGCTGCAGGCAATAAAAATGAGTAATTGGCTGTCTTGGCATAGATTATGGCCGAGTGGAGCAGATGAAAAATAGCCACATAATTTGTAAAACAAGCTCTTTAAGTGTTATTATTTCAGAGCCAAATAATAGACTCCCTTTCTCTTGATGTATTTATCTTTTACTAAATACAAAAGAGAATTTCCCCACATACATATTTAGTAACCTAGTCCTATTACAAGAAACATCAATCTTCTTGGTTTAATTACTAACTAATCACTTATTTGTTGCAATCCTAAGATTTTAGAGCCCACCTACTCGATTTAACGTTTTAGAAACTAGTTAAAGGAAAATAACTAAATCAATCTGCTCAAATAATCCTAGAATTGCCTAACAGTTTAAAACATAATTAACTCACATTTCAAATTAAGGGATCCAGCAATGTAGCTACAATGTTACTGCTCCTCAGTGGTGCTTATTCTGAGTCAGAGAGTGCCACAAATGGAAAATGCTTGCCAGGGCACCACCCTGGTACCCTCCCGCTGCAGCCCTAGCGTGTTCCTTACGTTGAAATCTGCTAATAAGTTTCAGGGAAGTTTCCTATAGTGTTAAGAACAGTCCCTCACCAGGATTCTAAAGTCAATTTTTTATTCGTAAGTACCAGTTGCCCAAATGTCTTTGGACCAAGTTTCTGGCACAGACTTATTCAGGAAATAGGGTGGGAGGAACACCTATTTTATATTTTAAGTGAAAAAACATTCTCACAAGAACATTACGCAATAAAAAAAAAAAAAAGGTTGGTTGGTGGTGAAGTTCAAGATCCACATCATTGTAACTTTATTTTGGTCATAGAAGAAGCAATCAGGAGTTCTCAAGCTGAAGTAGCAACAACTACTATGGTAATTTCACTAGACTGCTTAATTTAACAGGCTTAAAATGAAACATGTCAGTGTTAGAACTGAGGACAAAACTGCTTATTTTCTGTTCCTAGTTACAAGTGAAAGAAACTAATGGGCAGCAGATTTTTAGTAGAAAAACAACTGCCCTACCCATTTTTGCCTCTGCAGAACATAGCCTTGGAGTCCAACACATAGCAGGCACTTAAAATTGTTGAACTAGACTAAGCTGCCCATATGAGTTAGCCCTGTGAGCTAGTATCATTGTCTTGGAGTGCATTCCCCTGAATATATCATAGCAAAATTTAAAAATCTGAATCTTTATGAAATCTTTCTAAAAACAGAAGCACCTCCAGACAATACCACCTACCCCTAAATCCTCAGAGTTGAGGAGGAGGGGTGAAACCACACTATGAGGCTACCTTAAAATTCATTTGAAACCTCATATTTAACTTTTCAAAATACATCATTTTGCATTTTTCTTATAAAAATCTGTTATTTTGACATACAACAATTTAAAAATTATTTACTATTGAGTAAAATTGACACCACCACCCCTACCCCAGGTGGGAGTACCTTATTTATCCTGTGCCTTTGAGAACCCATCATCTTACTACCAAAGAACCCTGGTGTCCACCAGAAGTAGAACTCTAAAATCACTGCTATGCCCAACCCCTTAGTGAAATTTTCTTCTCTTGTTAAAAAAATAATAATAATAAATCCCCTTGACAGCTAGCTAATTTGAAAAGCAAATCCTTGTTAATGTCATAATGGGTTCTGATATCTTAATGTATACTGATCTTATAGGGATATCTTCAAGATAATTTCCCCATCCAAAATAAATATTCTAAAGGTGAAGTTTCCAAAAGTAATAATAGGAGTTGATGGAGATGTTTTTACCCAAACACTCAACTTCTCTTCTGATGCCCATGAAATTACATCGCTTGCCATAGGGCCCACCACACACAGGCCCTGCCCTGTTTCCATTGTCTATCTAATACTAATTCTCTTACTACTGGGAAGAAGAATGATTCATTTCTATTAAGCACTTACTCTAATCCAGGCATTGTGCTAAATGCTTTGTAGCCATGTGTCCTTTAATCTTCATAACAGTCTTCAGAGAAAGGCAGTATTTTCATCCCCACTTCATGTTTGAGAAAAATGAGGCCTAGGCAAACTAAATAACTTTTCCTGAATCACACAGCTACCACATGATGGCTCTAGGACTTGAATCCAAGTAGTCTAACTTCGGGACCTGCAGTACTATGACTCAGTATGTTAGATTACCTCCAAAGAGAATACTTTGGAATGAAGTATTTGCTTTTCTTTTTGAGATTATTGGTCAGTATTCCCAATTAATTTTGCCTCATTTCATAGACTCTACTTTCCAAATTCTTAATCAGTTCAGTCTCTAAACTCTAAGTGTACTTTTAATTTTCACCTATATTTCCAAACCCTAAAAGAGATCTAATCCGATTAGGTCTCATTTAAAATAGAAGAGTATATAGTAAAAAGGCTAGAGCTTAATATTTGCCATCAAGTGACCTCATATAATTACTAGTTTGTGACACTAGTTTTCATTTTTCTCTAAGCCTCAGTTTACTCAATGGCATGTCTTCCTGTCAGGATAAAATTGGTTAAGAAAACAGCTTTCCTGACATTGATTTGTGCTTAGATTTATTGAAGTTCAGAAAATGAGCACTTATTCTAAATTCAATTCTACAGCAATAGCTATTTTCTCTGTCTCTACATTTGCATTGATTTGACACGAAGATGATCAATAAATATTGCCATAAGATTCATAACACATATGACAATTCACTTCAACCACAGCACTGGTAGTGGTGGTGATCACCATTAGTTTGTATGTTCTAAAGGAGATGGAAAAACTATTTAAATTCAAAGCATTTATTAACCCAAAAAAAGAAAGGTAAAGTTCTCAGTAATTATAGCCTTAATCATATTATAAGTATGTTTTAACTCTACTTTATTTCAATAAGATATAATTTTACAACTTCTTTCATTTTTTTCTAATTCAATATAATGTAATTTTCTAGAATTCCATGTATGTATATATACACACATGTATATATATATAGTATATATACTATTATCTATTTTTTTTTATAATTTTTATTTATTTATTTTTTTCCCCCAAAGCCCCAGTAGATAGTTGTATGTCATAGTTGCACATCCTTCTAGTTGCTGTATGTGGGACACGGCCTCAGCATGGCCGGAGAAGCGGTGGGTCGGTGCGCGCCCGGGGTTCGAACCCGGGCCGCCAGTAGCAGAGCGCGCGCACTTAACCGCTAAGCCACGGGGCCGGCCCAACTATTATCTATTTTTGAAAACTCTGAGCAACTTAGAGAAATATTGTTGGGAAAGTATTTAGTATTATTTTTAAATGTCTAAGCATTAATCAGTTAATCATTATTTATTGGTTATTGTGCAATGCCCTATAGGTCATATGAGATGCTTAAGACATAACTGAGACTATAGACAGGGAGATGAGATGTATACAGGAACGGCATTCTGTGGCAAAACTCTCCCAAGAAGGGGAACAGCAGGAGACAGGTTGATGATATCAGCTAATGAAGATGGGAGAGATTGGAAAGCCAAATTGGGAAATGAGGACACTGAATGCACATAAAGGAGTCTAAATAACGTCTAATAGGATTGAACTGTGATCCAATACAATGATATTTTTCTAGGGATTTATTTGTGCAATTTTGAAGATAGGCCTAAGAAATGAAAATATGAAAGCTGGAAACAGGGAAAGACAGGATTTTTAATATATTTACTAAGTAGTGAATCATTTCAAATACATAAATTAGAAATGTAATTCCTTAGCTGATGGGTCATGTTACTGAGATTTGATGGCCTTCAATCTCTCAGTGCTACCCATCCTATTTTTGATATTCATTATACTTTAACTTTCGTCTTCTCCAACTTTTAGCCCCAGCATCTTCTATTCAGCAGCAATCGATTCAACCACTCTTGTGGGCTTTCCCTTCCCTTCCCTTTGGTTACCTATACCGTGTCACCTATATTGTGTTCCAGGCAGAGTCCTCCTTTGGGTGGCACTCTTGTCCTGCCTAGCCCTAGTCCTGCTAGACAAATACTCAATTAGCTATTGAATTGAATTGAATCAAATAGATTGATTCCCTCCACCACCTGTAAACACAAATCCACTTACCCACTCCTCCCCTTTCTTTGAAATTCTCAAAATCACTAAGACACAGCTGCAAGGAATGGGTGAGGCTAACGTGGATATGGCTCTTGACTCAGGGAAGTTGTACAACTCACCAGACAAGGAGGAGGGGAAGCACTGCAAACTCCTAAGGGCTTCTTCCGGCCTGGGTCTCCCAGGGAGGGGTAAGAGCCCCAGCATTTTGACCAGCCAACTTAACTTCCCAATTCTCAGCTCCCTAGAGTAGTGGGAGTGGGAAGGAGGGCATAACAGGAACATGATTTAATACACTCTTATTTTGTAGGAAGAAGAAATAAAACAGTGCCCCGAGTTCTTTATTAGATCCAACTCCCAGTGTACAAACATCCTAATTCAGCTTAAACAAAACAACACACACATATTCCATTTCTAAGTAGACTGTTTTCCTCCCCTCTTTCCCCTCCTTCTTCCCTCTTGCATTTATCTTTCTCCCTTTCTTTTATTTTTTTTTTTTTCTTGTTTCTCCTTCTCTCCCACTTATCATAGTCTTCCCAAAGAAAAGTTTATCTGCAACAACCCTTTAACCACGAATCCCCATAAACGAAGCAAACTCTCCATAGGCAAAAGCAAAGCCCTCAGCGGGGCGTATCGGGGTGGACGTCCCCCTCCACCCCACAAACACTCACACACTTAGTGCGAGACGACTGCACAGCGAAGTTCAAGTGTCTGCAGGAAAGGGAAGGGGGATACCAGATCTGCTCGCTTTCATAGACGGTCTAATCCCTTCTGCGCAATCGGACTCCAGGAAAGCAGCCTCCCCTTAAGGGCCCAGGAGCCCCGGCACTTTGAAAGTGCCCTCCTGCCCAGACTCGGGCAGATGTAAGGGGTGTGAAGGCGGAGCCAAAGAGCTGGCGACACCTTCCTGAAGGTCCAGCCCTCGCCAGTCTTCCTACCACCTTAGGGAGTTGGCACGGAGAGCGGCTCACCCTCTCAATGAAAGGCAGATGTCCCTTTAAGGTTTGCTTCGCAGCTCGTGGACTTTAGCCTAAACACGGACCCGCGAAGTTGGCTTTATTTGTCCATGTCTCGGACAGAGCCTGGGAGGCTGCCAGTGGGATTTCAGAGACCCAGAGCGCGAAGGGGCGGGCGATGTGGCAATCGGTCTGGGATGTGAAAAGCGTGGAGCGGACTTAGAGGCACTGGTCGAAAACACAGGAAATCACTCTGCGGCTACTGGGCGCCGCGACCGGCCAGGCCAGCGACTGAGACCCGCGGCGGCGCGCGGAGTGGCCCAGAGCGCGCGGCTTCGCGCCCGGTCCTGCCAGGTCCTGCCCTCCGATCCAGCGCGTCCCCCCGGCGCTGCGGCCACTCTGGCCATGGCCCCCCGGCGCCGCGCCAGCCCAGGGGTCGCTGTCGCCTGCTGCTGGCTCCTCACCGGTGAGCTACCCTGCTTTTTTCTCTATCTCCTGCGCGCGGGGCTCGGGGCTTGAATTGGGGAGGGAAGTACGCAGAGCTGTGGCCCAGAGAAAAGGAGGGAACGCTGATTCCCTTTCGGGCGCTCCAGGTAGTCTGGGCAGTCTGGAGTACGGAAAGGAGTTTCTGCGTTTGGTCTCGATATGCAATAGTTTTGATGTCGTTTCAAAACCCTCCACCCCAATAGTAGGAGGGAGGCGGTGCTGAAAACTTAACAAGGTAGAATTGACTTTTACAATTAAAGTTGTTTTGACAGTATACATTGTATTTTAGGACTTGGCAGAATGGCTCCTTACCCCTCTTTTTTTTTTTTGGAGAGTGGTATCTAGAGGGCGCCTGATTTATATGCAAAGTTCCTACCCTCAGGTTGCTCAACAGTGGGCATTATTGCATTTTCTTGCTGTCAAGTATTCAAGATCTTTCCTGCTACAGAACAAGAAAAGAGAAGAATGCAAGGCAAAATTGCTTCTTGTCCCGAAATGATGTTTCTATATTAGTACCTAGGAGGAGGAACATTTTGAAATTGAGGAAGGAATAGTGAATATTTACTCAGTAAATACCACAGAGCAGACTATTTTTTTTACTGCAAAATATAGTATGTATTGTTACTTGTGCATAAATAGGTATTTTTAAGGAGGGACTTAAAAAACACGGTGGAAATGCAAAGTTATACCCAATTTAGAAAAAGGTTGAATCACAGCATTTTCTAGGATTTTCCAAATGATTAACCCATGGTCAGATCTATTTTTACCAGTTACTGATTGAGGAGGGAAAGCTGCAATGCTGAAAGAAAGAAGGCAGGTGAGGTGAAACTGTGTGTGAAAGAAAATCACCTGATTAATGGTTTAATTAATGGCTGGCTTTACATATCATCAATATTCAATTGTTCAGTGTCTTTACTGCTGGAATGCTTATTAGTACTAGTTAACTTAGCATTTTACGGTTAAAAACAGGGGTGATCCAGCCAGTTTAGCCTGGCTTAGATGGCCAAGCATTATAAACTTTTATGAAGATCACTTAGAAGTGGATTATTAGTAAGCAAAGCTTTTTTTCATAGTGACGTGGTATAAAAAGAGTTAATGAGCTACTGGCTTTTCATCCAGACATTTCCCACTACTCAGGAAATGTCCGATACTCCCAACAGTGGTAACTTCTGAACAGCTTTACAGCCAGGGAATGGTTGAACTTATCAGCTACTGTCATTACCCTTTACACATATTTGAACCATGATTCCTCTCCAATTAAAATCTTTTGGAGGTTGTTTGCATTTTTTGGTTGTTGGGCAAAATCTAAATGGTTTACTAACTATTCAAGTTGTACCTTTTTCATTTTACCAAATAAGTCACTAGTGCAGAAATGATCAAATGAGGTTTGCATATCCTGTAAAAAGACAAGAATGAAACTTAAACACAGGAGGTTAACAAGTTACAATTTCATATATAGATATATAAATTGAAGTACTTATACTTCGATATATTTATATTGAATATTCAATATGGTATATCTATATGTGTGTGTGTGTATATATATGTATATATATATAAATTGAAGTATTTTCTTAAGTTCAACCACTTTACTTCCCCAAGCCTAAAACAGTCACAAGTTGCATAGTGTGGGTTTTCTGCAATGCTTGGGGTAATAAACCATGCTGAATTCAGGAAGGGACTTAAAATAATGCAGATATTTCTAAATTATATTTAATTCCCTTTTGTGTGTGTGTGTATATATGTATTACATCTATATGTATTACTCAATCATATTGAAAGTTAGAATTTAAAAGGTTATTGTCTCAGAATCAATAGGTTCATCATATGTGCTATATTTATGCCTATTTCACAACACAGCATAAGAATCTGAAGTTCGACTTCTTCCTTTCCTTTGCTGGTTTCCCTGTCAGTCATCACATTGTCAGCTTCCTCGGAAACTTCTCCTCAATTCGTAGAGTCCGCACCCATGCACACTACTGTAGAGCTCATCTTCTTGTCTCCAATCTGAACCCAACCTCTAATCTATCTTCCTAATTCGTAATTTTCATTATATCTTAATCTTTAGTCAAAATCTTTGGTAGTTCTTTGATGTCTTTCAGATAAAATCCAAAATTCTCAACCAACCTTTCAGGGTCTGCCCTACCTAGCACCTTCTATCTCCTACGACCCTTGTGTCAGTTTCCTATTGCTGCTGTAACAAATTGCCAGATTTATTGGCTTAAAATAACAAATCTACTATCTTACAGTTCTGTAGATCACAAGTCTCACTGGGCCAAAATCAAGGTGTTGGAGGGGCTGTATTTCTTCTGGAGGCTCAAGGAGAAATTTATTTCCTTGCCTTTTCCAGTTTCTAGAGGTTGCCTACATTCCCTGGCTTGTGGTTCCATCCTCCATCTGCAAAGCTAGCAGAGTAGCATCTTCAAATCTTTCCCTCTTACTCCACTTCATCATCACATCTCCTTCTCTGACTCTGACCCTATTGCCTCCTTCTTATAAGGATCCTTCTAATTACATTGGGCCTACCTGGAAAATCCAGGATAATTTCCCCATCTCAGGATCCTTAATTTAATCACATCAGCCAAGTCCCTTTTGCCATATAAGGTAACATATTTGCATGTTCCAGGAATTAGGACGTGGACATATTTGGGACACCATTATTCTGCCTACCAAAACCTCTAAACATAAACTGCCCACAATAGCCAGTCACATTTCCTTCCTTTCTGCGTCTTGCTACTGTATGATCTTGTTTTATGCATCTAGAAAAGCACTCCACCCTTCGTTCTTACCACCCCCTGCCATCTAAACAAACTCTCTCCATCCTTCAAAGGTGGGTGTACCTCACAACAACCACCCACCATGGGTTTACCTCACAACAACCACCCACCACCATTCTAGTACACTTTCCATTATATTCAGAACTGTCTTGTTGTCGGTTTTTCCAGTGTTTAAAAATGATTCATCACGAAAGATGTCCTTCTTTATGTCCAAATAAAGTTTTTATTGTTATTTTATATATGTCAAAGTCCCAACAAAAAACTAGTGGCACATAAATAAAGGATTTAACTGAAGAAAGTTTAATAAAGAGGCAGTTTGCAGAGGCCTTGAAAGGAACCGATAAAAGCTGGTAGCACACCTAGAATAAGCAATAGTGGGAAGAAAGCACTGGAAGCAACAGTGGGAAGAAAAGCCATTACCATTCCCAGGCCTGAGGTAGCAGGGTCAGCTTGACTGTGAACTCTAGCTATGGGAGGGGGCCACTGGACAAGACTGTGGCCATAGGAAGAGGAATGCAGCTAGTGCCAAAATTGAAGCCCGTGCTAGGAGGGAGGACACAGGGGAAATAAATATCCCTCCTTTTCCTCCTACCTTCTAATGCCTTGCCCAGTCCTCCCATTGGCCATATCCAAATGGCAGAATTCAAACTCCCAGGGGATGAAGGTCAAGACAAACAATAACAGAGAAAAACTAGCACAACTTAACGCTGAAAGGCATGTATTTTTTGAGAACATATTATGCATGAGGCCCTGTGCCAAGAACTTTGCATGTAGTATTTCATTTTTAATCTCAAAAAAGGGGAAAATTTTAGAACTATTATCCATACTTTAGAGATGGAGAAACCAAAATACTAAGAGGTTAAATTACTTTTGTCCAAAGTCACACAATTAGTCAATGGCAAAGCCTCTGCTCAACTCACATCTCTCGTGCTCTGAAATAATATGCCACAGAGGCTGTCTAACTCTAAGTCCATTTCCCTCTTGCTCAACCCTCTAAATGTTAAATCCAAGCATAATTGTCTAAAAGGCTTTGATAAGGATCTAATTAATGATGCAAGTGAGTCTGTTATTTTCATGACTTTTAGGTATATAGTGAAATTAGATGATGTCCCTCGCTACATTAATTATAACTCAAATAAGACTACTATCTCTGGTTATTAAGAATATAAATATAGAATTACCCTTAATTGAGTTACATGTCTCTCTTCCCTAGAAACATTTTAGTTAGCCTAGAAGCAAGGGTCTTCTTTTGTGACTTTTTTCCAGGCAAGATTTCCTATTCTAAATGAAGCCCAGTGAGATGATGGCTGAATATGGGAGGAAGTCAGTCATTTACCCCATAACAAGGAAATGACCTCCAATGGCACACAATGAATTGTCAGGAATTACTCAAGATGGTGCACCTCTTTAGTCATGATGTCAGTACAGGCAGCAATAAATTCATAGGGCTTTTGTTTGTTTGTTTAGTAAATAGGCAATGAGAGTAGCAATGAAATATATATGCTAAATAAACTAGTTTGCCTATTTTTCTTCTCTGCTGTCATGGTGCTATTTTGATGCATGAGCTCTTGGGCCACAGCTTGTAACTGTTGATCTTACTTCCTTAGACGGATGCTCCTCTGCCTGTGTTCCTCCACCTCCAACCAAATAAATTTCCCATTAGATTTAGAACTTGCTGAATTTTTATATGCCCCTTAAACATGAGCTATTGTATTTTATGAAATATTTTAAAATATATTCAGAAAATTAGGGATCAAAATGCTATTCTTTACCTACACTTCTCTTCTGTTGTATGAAACACAAAATAGTGTGTTTGAATTCATGTTAAGAAATTGAGATGAAAGATATTTGGAATTATTGCCACAATGCGACAGTCAGAATACATTGCCTATTCAGGGTGGTCTATGACTGGAGAATTGTATTCGCTCTCAAAGCAAGTACAGTAGAGTATCAAGAGATGTAAATGAGCTGAATATATTCCTGTCCTCAAGATTATTGAGCTTCTTTCAGCTCCTCTGTTGTGCCAGCTCCTCTGAAGTCTCTGGGCCTTTGCATAAGTTACTCACACTGCTACTGAACCTCAAGTCCCCACATGAATGTCATTTCCAAGATGTGTAAGCCCCTAGCACCTTTGATTCTATAACATACCACATGATATTGTAATTAAATATCTAATTGTCTGTCTTCCTAGCTTGCTGTATGC